GCGAAGCACCAAGAATAGGAATTAATCTGTGTTTGAAACAAAAGCATTCCTACACCACTGTCCTTACAGTTCTGTAAACTGGTACTCTGTGATAAATGACAGTAGAGATTTCTTCCCAGTTTGCTGATGAGAAGTTTTTGTGTATCTGATGCACAGGTACCCCCTGCCAACAGCAGTGCAATCTGATGTGACAGATGAAAGCTCTGTTTGCTGGGAGCGCCTCCCTCGGAGAGGGAGGAGTTGAACGGGTCTGAGCAGCGTTTCTAGTGCTGGGTCTCTGGATTGCTTCATGATGTGTCAGGCTCTGGGGTTGGGTTTTTTTGGATAGCAGCCTTCCTAAGCAATGACTTCGTATCCAAGATCTGATACAACAGTGATTTTTCGTAAAATGAAAAAAAAATATGGTGGGATTTTTTTTCCCACCTCAGCTATTTCTAATGCGACAATCAGCTAAGGTCTGTTGTAGACAGACTGTATGGAAATGCAGAGAGATGCCATGGAAGTGTGTAGACACACATAGAAAGGAATCCTACAGAATTTCTTAGAGGATTTGCTTAGCTTTCATTTTCTAATCCAGCCTTTGATACTCTTTCTCAATTGTAACCAATATTTTTAATCAAATATTTATTTTACAGGCAAGTTTTGTAACACTTCAAAAAGTGGCTAAAGTGAAGTTAATGGAGCTTTGTGCCTTGTTTCAGTTGCAGTTACACTGACTCTGACTCCTCAGGCTCTATTAAACTTTTCTATTTCCCTCCTTCAGCCACCTCTTGCAGGAAGTGATAGATAGAAACATCGACAGAGCTCAGCTGAAATTTGCAAGTAGCAGAAGATCCCACAGATGCAGTCCTTTTAAAAGTTTATCTGCTTGGGGAAAAAGAGGCAATTAGGTGGGTTATTAAAATTATGAATAGAAGCACTCGGTAAGTGTGCCTGTGAAGGTGATTAAATTGAAGTGAGAACAACAATTTGACTGGAATGCAGCAAACTATGCTTTGGGCATTTCTAACGTTTTTATACGCACAAAGTGAGGAGTCGAAATAGATCGTTCTCAGAGTCACCGTAAAGTTGCCTGTGCTACACTTACGACACAATATTTTATATACAGTGATAACTTTTATTCCTTGAATAGATATGATCTGAAAGCAAGTATAGAAATGTCACAGAAATGTCTGTAAATGTGTTTTGCTTGTTTGTTTGTTTATTTATTTAAAGTTAGTCATCTTTTCACTTTCCCTGAGAGCCCTTCAAGCTCTGTTTGGGATCTGGGCTCTGGGCCCCAGCCAAGTTGGTCTCACTCACAGACCAGTTGTGTTTTTCATGCCCAGCAGTGTGCTTGTGGACTGTAGGTGCTCTCCCCGTTGTGCACAGATGATCTTTTTAATGGAATCCAGAAAACAAGCCTGATGGTGGTTCCTTGATGTTCCTTTGCGTAGAAACTTCTGGAGCAGAATTAAATTTCAGCATTTTGTGAGTCTGCGTAGATAGGTCTGTGAACCAAGCACGCCCATGCTTCCAAAATTTTGTATCTTTGTGTCTGCACTCTGCACTATGCAACTGCATTGGCAGATCTTGCAGTGGGTTTCACAGATGTTGTTTAGAATACTGGTGGATGATAAAAATATCAGTAAGTTGTTTCATTTCAGTTTTTCAGCTCTCTTTCGGGATCACAAACTGAAATGCATTACTGTTACTGAAGAAACGGTAAGTTCACAGTAACTCACATACGCATTCTCTCGTGTCTCTGCACTTCATTTGATTTCTGAACTATCAAATGCTGTATATGCTTGAGAACAGTTTTGTATGACCGTGCCCAAACGTTTACACAAATGTATGACTCTAAGCTATGCTTTCGTACAGACTGAAAAGTGAGATTCCCACAAAAGTCAGTGGAGAAAGAAGCCTGAGTAGCGATGAGGCAATCAGCGTTTCATTGGTCTATGCCAGCTAAATCTTTCTGCATTTATGTGAATATTGCCATGAAATGCTGTTGTCTTGGCATAAGCAAAGATTGCAGACTGTTCAAAAGTGTCTTTCCAAATACCATGAGCAATAGTGTTACCTCTTCCAGAGAGCGGACTTCTTGGTTTTTTTGATTGGTTGGTTTTTTCCCTCTAAAAGCTGGTCTCCATTATTGAGTACAGAAAAGCAAATGTAATCTGGTTCTGATTTGGTTGCTGAGGGTCTGCAAATTGAGCCTGTTTCTGTCTCTTGTTTTAGCAGTCAGGGATTTCCATTGTCTGGTACCACATCCACCTAACATACTGGAAGGGAAGGGATCTCGTGGTCCCATGTGCCTTCAGCTGAGCATCATTGTGTGCTAAAGCAGGGCTGAGTTGCACATAGTACTAAATCAGCGACTTGTAAAGGAGCAAAGACCAGATTCAGCTGTGAATTTATCGTGGGTGGAGAGGATTTGCAAAGGGATGAGGAGAGGGAGGTGGTGCACTGTATTCCTCAACATGTAAGAGAGATTTGAAGGACTAACTGCCCCACTGAGGCGGACAAGCGAAGTCTGCAGCCTTGGCAGTCCTGATACCAGCAGCACACCATTCAAGGTGGGTTGTTTCTTGTTTCTGAAGCTTGAGAGCTTCAGCTTTCTCTTCTTTGATGGATGCTTGGAGGGAAGGAATAAAAAGAGGTTTCTGGTCTGAAGACTTCCAAAAACTGAGCTAATTACCCCTTCAGTACAGACGAGGCAATGAGATGCTGCTAGTTGCTGGTAAACAGGTAGATTTGATCCAGTGTTTTGTTGTGTTGCGAACTGAAAAGCTTCTACAACTTCAGGATAATTTGGACTTGATAAAAATAGATTAAGTGGATGGCGATTCACGAAGTGGGAGTGGTGTAATTCACGGAGTCTGCAGCGTTTGTAGATGACAACCTTTGCATATGGTACAATTTGGGGACAGAGATTGGGGGCGTCAGAAAACTCAGTGTCCCCGTGTGCAGATCTTCCAGCTCTGTCTGTGTCACAGAGCTGTGCATGACCTGGTAGAATTTTATCGTGCTTCCAGGCTAATTCACCTCTGCACTGAGGACAAGCATAAAATATTTCACCCACGAGACTAATCTATCTGTAAAGTTATGAACTACAGAAAATAGCAGTGTATATAATGAAAGTGTCTTCTCAACCATCACTTCAACACTTCTGTACGATAATGAGCATCATAGTTTTTGCATTTTTTAAGTGATGAAAGATAAATTTAAAAAAAAAAAGGGGAAATGTGTTTCTCCTGGAAGATAATATCCTCTGCTGTGTGCACTCTACTATTATTTCTGCTTTCTGTCCTTCTGTGAACTTTTAAAAATAATAT